AAAAAAAAAAAAAATGAAAAAAATGAAAAAAAAATGAAAAAAACGAAAAAAGAGGAAAGAAAAAACGCGTCACTCGTCCACAATGTTTCGAGAACCGGACACAACGAGATCGATGCCACGGATTTATTAACACACGGAATATTATTCGCCGAGTAAAGGGTTCGTTCTGTTGGAACGAGATCGCGAAGAACGAGATGAGATTCTCACTGGATTCTCACGTGCACGGCGAAAGTGTTAACGAAGAAGTAATTCAACGCAATGCGATCTATCGATGCGGTAAGATCATTTTTGGTAACGCCGAGAGAGTCTGAAAATCTGGAGAGAAACGCGAGAGACACGCGAGGAAAGAATCAGGGTTCGCGGACAGTCGCGGAATTTTATTTTTCTACAAAAGAAAAAAAAAAGAAAAAACAAATCGTGGATCACCGACGCGCGAGAATAATTTACAATCGCGCCCGCTGATAATTCGCCGTATCGGTCGCATATTAAACCCGAAACTATTCGCATATAACTTGAACGTCATAGACGGTCGCAATGTATTCTGCATGGCTAAACAGAAATGTCGCACGCCCGATGATAAATTTAATACAAATATTTCTGGTATTTCGAGAACATCTCTATTTCGACGATTCAATTAACTTCCATCGCGTCGAGGCAATGAACAATGATGGGCAATTTCAAAGCGCCGCTAAAATTTATTTCATCGCCGCTCGCGGAATATCAATGTCCCTCGAACTGGCTGCGTTTCAACGTTTCCGGGCGAGTAATCGATTTCTACGGATGTTACAGTTTTTCCTCTGTCATTACCGAGCCGGAACCAGGTTACACGGCGCACGCGGAGACGAGACAACGTTGCATGTACGCAAATAAAATCGTCGAGGGGCTGAAAATTCATTTCGGAACGAGGTTCCGAATGAGCGGAATAAGCATCTCTCTCGCGGAAATTTCACGAACGATCGTCGCAGAGTGGGGAGAGCGGGGGCAGAACATCGAAACGGGCCGAACGTGTAAAGTGTAAAATTGTAACTGTGATGGATTTTCCGGTCCGTTATACCGACCCGCAGTCGCGGGAATAGTCCCCCCTCTTGTCTCGCGCGCGTTTGTCCCGGATTACTCGCCCCTCTCCCAAGCGA